CAAGCCCAAACTGGGACTGTTTCTCCAAATGTCATTCCTGTTTAACTCCTTTTATTTTTACCATTTCAGACCGTTATTTCGCTCTTCTCATTGCCACGTTTTATTAAGAAAGGTGACACGATTTGTAGTGTAGGTACTGGCAGGTGTGTTTGTCTATATAAATATATATACAAAAATATAATTAATAATTAAATAATTAGGATACACTTTTCATTTGAAGTACTTCACGCGTGAGAGGAAATTCTGAAAGTTTGCATTGCAATAGTTGTGTGTAAAGAAATACTAATTATCGATTATATGTCATGGTTATGTATGTGTGTGTGTGTGTGTGCATATCTGTACCGTTTCTTCACCTGCATCTATGATCACATTCCACATCACCTCTAAACATCAGTCTTGATTAGGTTTAAGTCGGGCAAAGCTACGTACAAATAGGACACTGGTGCTGGTTTTACGCGGATGCACATCATTAAAGTAAAGGCGAGAAAACACAGTGAAACGCTAGATGGAAATCCATAACATGTCAATTAACATGTGAAAGAGAGAGGACGGGTTCTGTGTTGCAAGGCAATGCCCTCCCTGAAGCCTGAAAGGTGGGCTGGAGAAAGCTCCTGTTGTGGGGGCCAGAAAGTAAAGAACTCCGAGAAAGAGGTTTAAATGATTAAAGGATTCTATCAAAAGTCAAAGCACAATCCTTAGAAAACATCCTTTATTTTCTATCCAAGGTTCTAGTAAGGAGGGAGATGAGATATATATGGAGTGCATTGTTTTCTGATGGGACAATATATATATATATATATGTGTGTGTATATAAGGAGATTTATTTTACGTGAGATGTTCGAAGAGTTATATAAAATATCAGCAGTGTTTTTTTTGTTTTGAATGAGTGAGTTTGGGTGCAAGCTTCTCACGTTAGACTGAGTCTAAGACACTTTGCTGTCTTATTTTTTTATTTTACCCGCAATGTGTCTGATTTGAACTGAAGTCAACGCCAGCCAATAAACCCAGGTGCTCGATGGCCTTTTCCGAGGTTCTTCTTCCAAAGTTAACACAGAGTTAAAGTTAAAGCAGAGTTTCAGAGTCTTGCCAGGTTGACAATGAGTTGGGTTTTGCTCTCGGTTTGGCCTTTGTTCCGAAAGGTGGAGCTGAAAGGGGTTACAGTAAAAGAAAACCCCAGCTTTAGTTAGTTAGTAGTTAGTTAGTTAGTCAGTCTTGAGGAACTCAAAACTTTCTATGTTCCAGAGAGACTTCAGATCTGGTGTCAAGTCTGAGAGTCGGCCATTCAGAGATGGCTGAGAATTTAGACTCTCACCATGTTAAATTACTATTTCTATAATAATAATAATCCTTGCATTTGATATACACATTGTTTTATGGGCTGAAAGAGCCTGTTATGTACATTTCTTGTCTCCCGTGTGATACTCGCAATCTTAAATTTCATTAAAAATATCTCGGTGTTCTTTAGATGCAGGACTTCGAGAGATCAGCCAAACCAAAGATTATGTCTTCATTTACAGCATTGTTGGAACAAATTTTTGGATTGTTAAAACAAACTCGTAAAAGTTATTTTAGTGCATTGACAACTAATACAGTCTGCTATTATTATTGTTTATTATTATTAATAATAATTTATATTATTATCATTGACGATTATTAACTTGTTCATTTTTCACAGTGCTTATAAAATGACCAAAACCAAATGAAGAAAATAATGGTTTTCGTATCGCACCCAGGCGGGAAACATATATTTGTGACATTGATTTTTTTTTAATATGAAAAGTAATACTACATAAGAGTAAAAGTACATTTAGAAAATCAGTGCAAGAGGCACGTTTGCTGATCCAATTCACACTGACACAGGACAGAAAGAATCCTGGCTGGACGATTTCTAAATCTGAATGAAATCGATGCCATGAAAATCACGAGATGGCGCCATTGAGCTCTGTAACTTCAAAACCATTCATTTATCTTCAATATTGTGCATGAGAGGCGATTGTTTAATGGAGCAAAAATACGAGCAAAGTTGCTTTATGGCCACATATGCTTTACAACGTTTACACTGTTTCTTTTTTGTTTTTTTTTGTTTGTTTTCTTTGTTAAATGAACTTCTGCAAATTAAGCTGCGATTTTTTTTGGGGGGGTCTCTGCTAACACTGTTTATTTGCACTGATGTTGAACATAATAACATTAATACTCAAACGATCAGGATACACTTTTCATTGGAAGTACTTCACGCGTGAAAGGAAATTCTGAAGGTTTTGCATTGCAATCATTGTTTTCTGTCAAATACATACCAATTATCGGTTATAGTTGAGTCACATAAAACCTTTGGGTGGGTACGTGCGTAAAACAAAACAAACTCACGCGTAGTTTCCCAAGAGACTGGAAACGTATCGCATTTTGGCTCGGATTTCCACGTCTCAGAAAATGTCGTCGCTTCTCGAACGCGCTTGAACTGGTTTGCCAACTTTGCTTGTTTTAAGAGCAAGTAACAGTTTCCTGGTGGGTTTAAGTGTTCACAAAGTGATGTGGTGGTTCATTCTGTGTGAGCAACAAAGCACTGTAGCATCGCCCACTCTGACATGCAATCCCAGCCAGTGAGAATCCCAGCTCCAGTCACATTTAGGAACAGTTTCAATGAACTTTGACAAAACTTTCCTGGGGGGGTGGTAATTGTCCATCAGGTGAAGAAAGGAACATGCTTTATCAGAGAACATTTTTTTTCTCTCTCTCGCTTTCTCCCCCCTTTCTCTCTGGCTTCGAGTTTCCTTTTTAACGCCTTGAGTTTTTGCTGAGTAACCGCACTGAGAAGAAATAAGAGCTACTTTGACCACTGGAAAGGATGCGGAATTTATACAGTTGGAAGGTTTGGGGTTGTGCTTTAACTGGAGACGGTTTGAGTCAGGTGGGACTAATGGGGTGACATGTCACCCTGGGTCTGCTTTCACTCGATTTAGGTAACATTGTAGTCTGCAAAAAAAAATTGATAAATTCTTCTCAATATTGAAACCAACTTTCTGTTAAAGTTTCTTTTGAAGCGCCTCAAACTATCGACTGAAATTCGACAATTTGCCAAATTCTGAAAGTGCTTAAATGTGACCTAAAAAGAGTAAATCTCGACCTTTCTCCCCATTAGTGTTTTCTGATCTGTCGTTTCTTAAAAGCTGCATAATGCGTTTTGTTTTTTAAAAAAAAGGTTTGATATAAAATGTGAAATCTCCTCCTTTCTAATACATGTAAAATACTTTTAGACAGTGTCCCGGTAAATACATATTCCTGGGTTTTATTGAGCCCATGCTGGACAACAGAGGGATCAGGTAAGTAATCCACATTAGAAACATCTCCTCGGGACTGACGCTTTCTTTTATACGTTGTATTTGGAACAATAACAACAACGACGACAATAAATTGCATTTATATAACGGCTTTCAGGTCGGGAGGACATCCCAAGGCGGTGAAACTGATAACAAGTTGGTCAGTTGTGTAGAAATCAACCTGAAGGACTAAAATAAACATCTGCATCGTTGCCAGAAATCATCTGGAAATCATGAGGGCATCAAAACGAATACACAATTGAATATGGTTTATTACTGTAACATTCCCGTTAGTCTTTCCTTTTGCCTTTTTTCCCCCCTATCAGACTTCTTATAATCTCTCTCTCTCTCTCTCTCTCTCTCTTTCTCTCTCTCTAAACAATCCCTTGTGTGTGTGTGTGTGTGTGTGTGTGTGTTTTCCAAATCTATTTCACTTTAATCGTGGCAGGAGTGTATGATCTTGGCAGCCAACAACAGCTGTTGACACTTTTTTTTGGTAACTTTAGTTAAGTCGCTGTGTGTAAAATTCTAGCAGTGATCTGCAGGCAATTCTTGGGGGGGAAGTCACACAGGCTTGGAGTTTGGAAAGCATTTGACTGGGAAAATCTCATTGTTTAAGACCTGCAAACAGACAGTATTGTCTCCCTGGACCTAATGGTGGAACCATTCTACTTTATTAATGAATATGTAGCAGATTGCATGGGTGTTTGAATGGATTCTGAGGTCGTTGGCAGTCCTATTCTAGTTGCTTGTGCCTGTCGTGTTGTTTGATGTGAGTTCTCAAGTAACCTGAGAGTAATATTTTGTTCCCTCTCTTAACATGACGTTGAGTTTTGGTTCCCTCTTGATATTGTTACTGATATTGATATTGTTCAGTATTTAACAGTTCTTGGGGTTATTCCTGTGTCGAGTTTAACTCGTTTCTGGTTAGTTAGTGGGGAGTGCATCGTGTTACACATCTGATTAGCTTTCACTTTTGCTCAATCGCCTTCGAAACAAGTTGAACTCTTCCAGGAAAAATCTGGCGATTGCATTTTTTTTTCTCCCTTTGAAAATCGCAGCAGAAACAAATGGCTCATCGAGAACCACTCCTTTTGATCCACGTTTGTTTTTCCCCCACCCCTAAATAAAATAACCCCACGGCAATCTTAAGACAACAACTGTTAAACGTGTGCAAAGTGCGAAGGTTTTATGTTTTATATTGTTTTAATAGGAATATTGACTGATCCACAAGAGAAATCACCAGCATCCGCTCACACAATGGAGAGAACGACTACTAATAATAAATATAATCAAAAATACACAATAACTCCAACTCCATCAACTTGTGATCACTGTGAAGTGACATTACAATCAAGTCCAGGCAGAGAAAATAAAAGTCTTATTATATAACATTTCTGCTGATCTCGGTGTGTGAGCAATGTTAAATGGACAGATTTCCATCAGACTAGAAATGTGAATTTCTTGTTATAATTCTCTCTCTCTCTCTCTCTCTCTATGTATATATATATATTTTTAAAAAAGCCATGGCAACTTTCTAAAAGTTCCAAGAATTGTTCAGGAACCACTTCAAGATCAGAGGGACTCACTTGTACAGTGAGTGCGAGAGGAAAGACACAGAAATGCAAACTGTGGGGTATTTTCTCCATCCATCATCCGCACACACCATTGATACCTCGTGCAATCACCAGTTTGCCACATTCCTGCACGCCATTTGGGATGTGGGACGGGACAGGGCGTTTATATAGCATCGAGCAGGTGTGTGTGTGTGTGTGTGTTGGGACTTTATAAAAAGGGGATGGAGACCAAAAAAGGGGGATGGAGACGCTATCACGTGAGCTGTGGTTTTTTTTTTGCAGGGCCATCTTAAAGAGGATGAGCCTCATTAGCTGAGATTGTGTATTAAATTGCGGGGTACCAAGCCAGTCTCTGCTCCACAAGCATTGCATCAAGGTGAGCATCCCCGCGTGTGCTTTGTTCTGATCTCGCCATACGATTTAATGTCGGGTGTTTAAGCATCATTTGATGGTCATTTAAGAAAATCAATGGCAGACGGTGATAAGTTATATTTCGGTGCGTTTGTGCATCAATTTGCACTTCATTAAACTTTACTGAACTGTGTTTCCCCACTCCCCCCCCCCCCCACCTCCCCTCCTCCCACCCCACCCTCTTCCCCCCAAAAAACGTTGCACCTTGTCTATCTGCAGTAATCTTTTTTTAAAAAATATATATATATTATTATTTTTGATTGGGTTTTTTTTTAAAAAAAAGGTTTTATAGTCTTGAGAACCTTTTTTTTTGTTTCGCTTTGCACAATTGGAGTTGGGTTCTGGTTCACTGAAGTCTGTTCTAAGTAAAGCGCTCTCCTCGCTCCCTCCCTCCCTTCCCTCCCATTAAAACTAAATTATTAGTAAAAACAGTCGTGTATTTGCTTTGGCGAAGTTTGCGAAGGGGCAGAAGCCAAAGAACAAGGATTTGCAGGCAAAACAGCCAAAGAAAAGTTATGTTTTTTTTTGTAAAAAAGAAATTGGTACAGTAGTTATACTAGTTTTTTTTTGGGTGTGGGGTGGGTGGGGGGTGGGGGGGGGGGTGGGCTATTTTCTTGTTAAGCTCATGTCACTTTTATGTGCATTTGCTGGTTTTGTGGTGGGAGAGGGTATGTAACCTGGGCGAAGAAACGGATTGTGGATTGATGTGTGCAATAAGTGGTCTTTGGAAAAGGCTTTTAAAAGCATATATATATATATATATATGTGTATACTTATATAGTTTTTTTAATAAAAACTGCAAAGGAGAATTTGCTTGAAAGCGTCAACTGCAGATTGCACGCTTTCCGTTGTAACATGCGAAGCCTTGTGAGCGATGGAGAGAGAGAGAGAGAGAGAGAGAGAGAGGGGTAAATAAATCAGAGAAGTTCCGAGCAAGAAAAAATAGAAACGTGCAATAGCTATAATTATAACCCAAACTCGCCCTAAATTATCCCGACCGTTATCTCATTGGAATTGAAAGTCAGGTCTTTTGCAACTGTAGATTTTGATGGGAGACATCCTCTCTGCCTCAATTCGTGTGTGTGTGTGTGTGTGTTGTGTTGTGTTGTTTGTTTAAACCCTCTCTTAGAACACACCATTTCACACAACGAAACTCCTTCTCTCTCTCCATCTCTCTCTCTCTTTCTCTCTCTCTCTCTCTCTCTCTCTCACACACACACACACACACACACACACACAGAGCCAGGAACTCGCACAGAAAGAAACAGCCTTTGGCTGATTAATTAATGTGTGTGCGTTTCAGAATAGCGCCTGGACGCATAATGCCCGCATTCATGTCTCATCTGGGAGAGGAGTGGGGATGGGGGAGTGCGGGGGGGGGGGGGGTTGGGGGGGTTGGGGTGGGTGTGGGAGACGACGACGACTTTTTTTCTTTTAAAGGAAAAGCTTTCGGAAAGCCAGAAAATACCATTCCGTTTTACTGTTTCAAAAGGGACTGTCAGCCGTCGGAATAAAATAGCCACCGATTATTCCCTGATTATTTATACACTGGGACTGGACTGTGCATTTCCATTAACCTGCAATTACTGAGCAGGATTGTATATATTTGGGGAGAGATGGAGGGAGGGAGATAGGGAAGGGGTGAGATTTCACATGCATTGCAAGTGTGGTGTATGGGGTAACGAGAAAACCAACTGACTTTGCATCTGTGCATTTGATGGGAGAGTGTGTGTGTGGGGGATAGAGATAGAGAGAGAGAGAGAGAGAGAGAGAGAGGGGAAGAAATCACTGAACTTTGGTCCCTCGAGACAGCACAAAGCCAGGAGACCTCAGAGCATCTGATTCCTCCAGAACTTAAGGAGTGCAAACCGAACCTCAAAGCTTAAAGGGCTTTTTTAAAAAAAATATTATTATTTTTACCCACTCCCCCCCCCCCACCCTTTTACAATCCCATTGCAAACTTCCAAGTAGGTTGCAACCATTTATTCCGAGTCATGCCAGCATGCAACTTCTCTTTATTTGATTTATTTGGTGTAATCCTGCCGGCGAGTGCTGTTTTGTTAAGGGAGTGTGAGATTCACCCCGACCATAATTCTGTCCTTCATCAAACCAGCAGTTCACTAAAACGGCGACAATCATTTTTTTTTTTGAATAGACTCATCTTACACTTCAGAAACCTGGCTCCTGCTATTGCGACCTATTTCCCAAGAAGATCACTCACACTTCCTTTTTTTTGCAAAAAAGGAAAATAATATCAACTGCAAGGTAAAGTGCTTTTGGGGAGGAATGTCCTTTTGAACTCTGTACATTTTTTTATTTTGATCTAACTCGACTGATTCAATTCAATTCAGGGCTTGCACGCTTTAAGTTAAAGAGACATGTTCCTTTTTTTTTACTCTTTCTCTCTCTCTCTCTCTCTCTGTCTCTCTCTCTCTTTCTCACTCTCTCCCCGTGACTCGTTTGGATAAGAATCATCCTTCACAGGTTTAAAGTTATCCAGCAATTGAATGGGTCTGGGCGTTATCAAACCCAATATACCTTAAGGAAGCTCTTACTCACTCTGTCAGCTTTAAGTTGCTGTAGCTGAGAGTTGCACTTAAATATTATCTCTAATATTATCTCTATCCGCAGAGAGCGACGGGCATTGCATTTGCTTAGCTACAGTCAAGTAAGTGAGTGTTATTCTGAAGGGTCAAAATGCCTCTTGATTTATTGCCTATATTTATATATTATATACATATATATTCATACATTAATATATATTGACTGTACAATCAATCCACCTCACAGTGTATCCTGTGAAGCACTTTGAGTTATTACCACGACGTGATAAGGCGCTATATCAAACGCAAGGACTATGATGATGATGATGATCTCTTGAAAATATTGGTCGTAATAAATCGATCAATATTGCTGGCGACTCCCATGGTACATATATCCAGTCAATACACGTTTAATCATATTGCAATAAGATAGTATCTCGCTCACTATATAGCAATTGCCAGTCACTTTATTATAGAGCTCAGTATATATCAGAGCCTCTTCCTACAGATTGCAATACAATTCACTGGACTACATAGTTCACCGTGAAATCACAGTGCAATGTAATTGACTCTATTATACACTTCACTGTGCAGCAAAGGTGTAATAAAATTAACTCATTATAGTTGCGTCACCTATAATTATATTCTGATTGCCAGTTACAAACATGCAGGGCAGTTGGGGAGGGGGTGGTGGGGGGGGGGGGGGGGGGGGGACGTGTTTCAAAGCATTTTTCTTGTCCTTATAACGGAACTGAATATTTTATAATCTGGGAATACGGATAAATCAAATCCTTCCATCGCATTCACTCGAAATCTGGGTTAAAATGAGCACCAAAGTTACCTGACTTGTTGGTAGACAGCGAACACTGATTTGTGGAAACCTTCATCCCACTTAAACATGTAACAAGAGCTTTCCCTGTGTGATAAATGGGAGACAAAAGGCGTTAGTTACAGCGTTAGGAGAAGTCGAGATTTAATGTACTTGCAAGTTTAGTGGCGTGAGTGAGTGTGTATGTGGTACTGGTGGTGGTGGTGGGAGTATGGGGGGGGGTGGGGGGGGGGGGGGGGGGGTGGGGATGGGGGTCGTGTGTGCATTTAGAAATAAAATCAAAATGACCCCAATTAAAAAGGGCTTAGGGTTGCTGCAATTTTAAGGGACAACCAAGATTTTAAAGAAAATATACAAACCATTGTGTTTCCTTCAAACTATCTATATTCACACGAAGTAAAGGTTATTCGGTTTATTAGGGTATTGGTGAACAAGTCTCATGATGGGTACATGGATGGATTAATAGATTGGATGGATGGATATCAATGAAGACTGTGTGTATCAGGTTTAAGGAGAGCATCCCATCCTCAAGGCTTGAAATCCTCATCAGGTTAGCTTTGGTTAGTGATAAGTTTATTGGAAGGTCGTGCTCACTTCTAAAGAAAGGAACACCACAGAGGTTAGTTAGTCCCAGTTTCAGTACTCACTCTCTGTCCTCCACCCCCCACCCCCCCAACCCCACCCCTCCCCAGATACAGCTGATATGAAAATCAGTCGCTTTGACTGAAGGGAGAAAATAATAGACACTTAGAACATATATATCAACACGACCCGTGTTATCGAATCATTGGGGTGGAATTGTCTCTGAATACCAACTCCATTCACCGACTTTACTTTAATCTCTGAAAAGGCTTTCGAAAAAAANGTTTCCAATCTGCTCTGTCCAGAATGCTCCACTAATCAATCACTACTGGTTTGTTCACACCACTCATAATAATACGTTTAATATTGTATTTGTTTATTGATATATAATATATGTATTATATAATGTATATATAATATATATATTATGCAACATATATATAACCCCAAGTTAATAATCCCCAAACACACACATACACACACATATATAAACAATATATTTGTCATTTGAATTGAAGGTGGAATTTTTATAATTTACAATTTCTCGGTTAAACAAAAAAAAAAGACTTCCTTCGGTAGAAAATACATTTGCTATGGGTTTGAAACCGGCTTATGCGTGTAAAAGTTAACGAATAAAAGAAGTTCCATTGGTTCCTATTGGATTGAATTTCTACCAAATCGTTACCGCACATTAATGAAGAGTTAACGTTGGGAGTACAGGTCATCACATCAAAAATCTCATACTTTCTCAGTGAATTGATGCCTGAAAACGACAACAACACATTACATTTATTCAGCGCCTTTCATGTCGAAAGGACGTCCCAAGGCGCTGAAAACCACGCGTAGGAGATGTAGTGACTGTTCCCACTGATTTCCTAGTGCGAATAATGGATTGAAACGAGTTCAAATGAACTTTTAAGGCGATATACCTCAGATAAACGTAGACGCGACTCCTGGACCAGAGATGATGCGATTCCTCTCGCACCTAAACTCTTTATTTTGTGAACTACGGACATCCAAAATTCATTCCTTTACAAATAAATCCACCGCACCAACAAGTCGGTCATCACAACACCCCATCGCAATGTAACTTTTTTAATATAAATTTCCAATATGGCACAGCATTGGCTCCGAGGCGATCGATTGCATAAAATGAACGTTTTATGGAAACAACTGTTTTAATAACGTTCATTTTATGCAATTTGTGCATAATATATCACTGTCCCTGAAGAAGAAAAATGTCATTAAAAACAAGGTTATTTTATCCCCCCCCCCCCCCGCCCTCCCCCACACACACACAACTCAGTTTCTCAGCATTCGTTCTTTTTTGTGCTAAGATGTGTAAATTATTATGCAGTAATAATTCCGATTGTCTCTTTATTAAGTTGGTTTGAGTTTCGCTGTTTGGCTAAGTTGCTTCAGAAGCTTTGCAATTTATTCACTTGAATCAAATCATTTGACTATTGCAGCAAACGCATTTTATTGTGACAGCTGTAGATATACCCGTCATAAATGTGTTTACTTAACAGTCAAATAACCTGTCGAGTCGAGACAATTCAAAGTTGTTCAATAAGATAATTGAGAAAAGACACTTTTTTTTGCATTAAAAATACACAGCAACCGAGTTCCTTTTTTTTGTTCCTTTTCCCTTAACTTTTTGCCAAGGCGAAACCGTTGCAAGAGGCAAAAAATCGGTGCATTTTATCCGCTGATTTACCGAATAAATCAGAGTGCTATGTCCTGCTTCCAAAACCGATTCATAAATTATTTTGCTTTTGCACAACGTTTTGTGTGATGACTTGTCTTTTAATTGGGGTCTAAAGGTTGTGACCCTCAAGTGCATGGCAAGATTGAGTTATTTAAACTTTTAACACTCACAAACACACACTAATATATATATATATATATATATATATACATACATAAAGGGTGAACAAAAAGTCGTGATAACTACCCTATCATGTCCCCTAAAATCATAAATCCTTTGGACTTGTAATGGTATCCCGACTATTTTGGGGTCACCTTGTGCATGTGTGTATGTATAAATATATATATTCTTCTGGATGAGTGGAAAAGACTTTAAAAAGTTCAAGGGAATCGATGAGTTTATCGTTCAAGCTGAACCCAACTCTCTCCCCCCTCTAAGTTGTGAATGGCCTCTGAACAGTAATAGCCTCAATTATTGTTAATCGCTGCTATTGATTAGTGGGAATGATTTGCCTGTCTCTTGATTGCAAACCAGGTAGTAGTGTGTGTACAGGGATGTATCAGGCTGTGTGTGTGCGTGTGTTAAAAAAAATACCAAGGTGTTCCGAGCTATTTCACGATGGAACAGTTAACAAACCCCCAGCAAAGTAACCCACTTGACAGGGGGACAGGACAGGCTGTTGAAGCCGGGGCTCTCCTGCAGGGACAGCGGCTGGATTTCCAAAGCCACCCCGCTGGGGGAGGGTTGGTGTTGGTGGGGGGGTGGAGGGGGGAAGGGGGCAGGAGTGAGGCGAGATTAATCAGGGACTAATTCAATTTACAACAGCCCCATTTATTCAGCCTTCCCCCTTTCAAGCAGAGCCTTTGCAGAGCTATTGTCCAAGGCGCATTTGCATAGTCTAAATCTGTAGCCATGATTGCCACAATAACAGGTTTTTGATTTTTTTCCTTCCCCCCCCCCCCCCCCCCCCTCACCCCCCTTTTTACTTTGCAACCAAGAACATCGGGTGTGGGTGATGTTAATACACACTCAAGCTTTTTGGCTCGCAGTTAACGTGCATACTTTTTTTTTTAGCAAGACTGCTATTTTTTTCCACGCACCACTTCAGACTTACACATGGTGGGGTCGCCTTACAGATATATGTTTTTTTTTTCTCTCTCTCGCATGCTTTATAGGGTGCTTTTAGAGATGAATTGTGCTTGGTTAAGAAAGAGAAGTCTGGATTAAAAAAAAACCTGCAGTTTCTTTATAACTTGTGTGTTTGTGTGTGTGCCTGTATGCGCCTTGTTATTCAGTAATGCGTTAAGAAGACTTGGTGAGCCATTCCCCCAGGTTAACAGTTTCATTGCAATGTCAATCATCGTTTACATGTGAATTTGCAGGAACCTTTTGTGCTGCGACAAAACTCTTAGAGCTCCGTCTTTCCTCTACTATTATTGCACACATTAACATAGTAATTGCTCCCGTTTTGTGGGTGTATTTCGATGAGCAATCAAATGAAGAGCAAATGATTCGTGCATAAAATTGCTAAATGTGTGTTAGATTCCCTTGCAGGAGATGCACATGTCCATTGGAGATAAAAAATCGCCCATTAAACTTTTACGACAGGATTTTGCGCTGATAGAAAGTTTCCAGGCAGCGAAACCGACTGCAGGTGTCTAGAGATCTTATTTATATCTCTGTGCGTTCAACATCGATGCACTTTTGTTTTTCGACAGCTTTTTTTAAAAACCTATTCATTCTGTTTATGTGTGTGCGGAGGGGTATCCGATACTTCATAAACTATTGCAAAAGGGGATATTTCATACAATTCCCGATTTGAATAATTATTACTATATTAAAGTGCAGCTTCAATGCAAAACGAAATATGCAGTCAATCCACGTTTCAGTATATTCTGTGAAGCGCTTTGAGACGTCTCAGCGACGTGATAAGGCACTAGATCAAATGTAAGGATCATTATTATTATTATTATCAAAACTACTCAGAATCTAAGCAGGAAAAAGTTAAAAGCGCTTTGTGAGTGCAACGCCTATTTAAAACCGCACTATTCAAAGTGTTATTATCAGACACAGATCCCATAAAATGGTGTTCGATAAAATCAATAAAATCATTTTCAAGGATTTTATTGTCGGTTTATTCATCTGCACGTTCGTCTGCAGAGCTGTGAGTTGGTGAAATGTAAGGAATAGCAGAACAGCCACGGGATGGGTTCAGATCACTGATCTGTGTGTGCATGTGTGTGTGTGTGTATGTATATGTATGTATGATGTATGTGTGTGTATAGGGGTTTCTTGCAGTACTCCCAATTAATTGGTGCTTCCAGAATTATTTTTGCACACTAAAAACCATTGCAGATAGGAGAGTTTTGGACATTAGGGGAGTGGGGACACATGGCAGTTCATTTCCCTCGGTGCAACTTGAATCGTTACTGCAATCTGCACAAAGCAGATTTTACTGAAGATATTTTCTTACCCCCACCTCTCCCCCTCTCTCCACCCCCCCACCACCCAACTCAACTTCAAATAAAAATGATTTTCTCCAAGGCGAGATTTCCCCCACCGCCCCCCAAGAAAAGGGGCCACAAGCAGTTTCAAGGGGACGTGTTAAACGATGGCAGAGGCTGTAAACAGTCTAATTGGGGTGGATGGATCTTGTGGCCCAGACTGACTGTGAAAGGATGCATTGCTCGCTATTGATAAACTGCCAGTGGATGTCGTTGTTTTCGCTCTGCTCTTGTGTGGGGAATGACACTCTCCGTCAGGGCAAGGGGTGACCTCCATCCAGAGAGAGAGAGAGAGAGGGAGGGAGGGAGAGGGAGGGAGAGGGAGAGAGGGAGGGAGAGGGAGAGAGAGAGAGAGAGGGAGAGCTGTGCACGTCATTCACTCTGTATTGCAGACAGAGTTAAGAGAGAGAAAGAGATAGAGATAGAGAGAGAGAGAGAGAGACATACACACACCCAGAGGAGAATCCACCCTCGATCCTGGTGGGGGGGCATTTAGCAATGACTGATGCACAGTGCAGACCGCAAGTTTCCAGCTGAAGAAAAGAACATCACATTTTTTTTCTTTCTTTTTTTCTTTCTTTCTGCCTTCGTTTTCAGTTGATTAATTTAACCAAAGCAAATTTTTTTTTTACAAAATATATATATATATTTTTTACACACACCCTCACTCACTCACTCACACACACTCACGTTCACACAGGTAACATTATACACACAATTCTCACGTGAATCTGTTGTAATTTGTGTGCGTTTTTAAAATATGGGTTAAAAAAAACAGTATTCGGAGTAAACTTTTTGCTATTGAATGTGTAACGATTGGGGCTTTATTTCTTTTGGTGGTGTTGGTGGGTGGGTGGGGAGGGGGTGGGGGGGAGAGGAGAGGGTTGGGATCAGAAAAACTTTCTAAACTTTCTTTTGCTTTAAAATTAATTCACGAATTCTCTCTTTTTTTTTCTCATATGATTCCAGGATCATTCGGGTTGTGTTGTGTGGTGGTGGTGGAGGAGGAGGAGGTGGAGGTGGTGGAGGAGGTGGGTGGGTGGGGTGGGGGGAAGAAGGTGTGAACAACAACAACAACAACCACCACCACCACCACCCCCCCCCCAAAAAAAAAACCCACCCCACACACCCACAAACACACTCCAGTTTTCCCGGCGGGATCGAACGAAAGAGAGAGAAAGAAAAGAGGAAAGGGGAGAGAGAGAGAGAGAGAAGAGAGAGAGAAGAGAGAGAGAGAAGAGAGAGAGAGAGAAAAAAAAAGAACTAAAACGAAAAGAGAGAGAAAAAAAGGAGAGTGAGAGAAAAAAAGAAAGAAAAAAGAAGAAAGAAAGAAAGAAAGAAAGAAAGAAAGAAAGAAAGAAAGAAAGGAGAAGAAAGAAAAAAGAAAGGAGGCAAAGATGTTAATGAGTGTTTGGGAGCTGGTGTGCGCTTTTGTGGGTGTCACTTTCCTGGTGGAAGGGGTGAGAGGCGCTTACGGGATGAGTATGTTCGCGGCCCAGCAGACCCCCCCGGACCCGTGCTACGACGAGACCGGGAACCCGAGGCGCTGTATCCCGGACTTCGTCAACTCGGCGTTCGGCAAAGAGGTCCGGGTGTCCAGCACCTGCGGGAAGCCCCCCTCCCGCTACTGCGTGGTGGCCGAGAAGGGCGACCAGAGGTCCCGGACCTGCCACGTCTGCGACTCGACCGACCCCAAGAAGGGGCGCCCGCCCGCCTTCCTGACCGACCTGAACAACCCCCACAACCTGACCTGCTGGCAGTCCGAGAGCTACCCCCAGGCCCCCCAGAACGTCACCCTGACCCTGTCCCTGGGCAAGAAGTTCGAGGTCACCTACGTGAGCCTCCAGTTCTGCTCTCCCCGACCCGAGTCCATGGTCATCTACAAGTCCATGGACTACGGCAAGGCCTGGGTGCCCTTCCAGTTCTACTCCACCCAGTGCCGCAAGATGTTCGGCAAAGCCAACAAGGCGCCCATCACCAAACAGAACGAGCAGGAGGCCATCTGCACCGACTCGCACACCGACATGCACCCGCTGACCGGCGGCCTGATCGCCTTCAGCACTCTGGACGGCCGCCCCTCGGCCCACGATTTCGACAACAGCCCCGTCCTCCAGGACTGGGTCACGGCCACCGACATCAAGGTGGTGTTCAGCCGCCTGCACACCTTCGGCGACGAGAACGAAGACGACCCGGAGCTGGCCAGGGAGTCCTACTACTACGCGGTGTCCGACCTGCAGGTCGGGGGTCGGTGCAAGTGCAACGGCCACGCTTCCCGGTGCATCAGGGACCGGGACGGCCACTTGGTGTGCGACTGCAAACACCACACCGCGGGGCCGGAGTGCGACCGATGCAAACCGTTCCACTACGACCGACCCTGGCAGCGCGCCACGGCCAGAGAGGCCAACGAGTGTGTAGGTAAGGTGACCACCTCTCCCTCTCCCTCTCCCTCTCTCTCTCTCCCCCCACCATCATCATCATTATCATCATCCCCCCCCCCATCACCCGCAAGATAACAGCCCTCCGTGTACACCCACACACTACATACTACATACAACACACACACACACACACACGCACCGAAATAATGATCACCGACCCCCCCCGCGCACACACACACCCGCCGCCGCGTAATGTTTTCAGCCCCAGAGCGCACTCTCTCTCTCGCACTCTCTCTCTCTCTCTCTGTTACAATACTGGAGGGTGGCGGGGGGCGGGGGCGGGGGGTCGTGGCAATGTTAAGTCAGGCAGAGAGGGAGAGAGAGAGAGAGAGGGAGGGAGAGAGAGAGAGAGGGGGAGTGTGAGAGGGAGAGAGAGAGAGGGAGAGGGAGAGAGAGAGGGAGAGGGAGAGAGAGAGGGAGAGGGAGAGAGAGAACGAGGAGAATGTGAATAACGATCTGTCCCATTCCTGAGCGCACACACACACACCTGTCAGCAAACTCAGCCCTAATTCCCCCCCACACACACACCCCCACACACCTCCACACACACCCCCCCCACACACACCTCCACACCCCCCCCCCCCCCCCCACACACACACACAAAAGGGGGGGGGGGGGGACGGCGACTTTCAATAAGAACATTTCAGTCCTTCGAAAACTGTTCGAAACGTCTTCTCTAAAAACGCGCACTGTTGCCATCGAGTCTCAGCCCAAACCACTGCGAAGTCTCTTTTGAAAACAAATGTTATTCTGCTAATAGTGAATTAAGGGCGTCTGGTTCGCTGTTCATCGGCATTATTTGAAGACAAGCTATTCTGGTTCCACTGCCCCCCCCCCCCCTCCTAAATTAAATTACATTAAATGGTTAATTCATTCATTAATTGATTGATTCCGTAATTAATGGAATACTCCGTGAATTGCCTTTGGCACTGCACTGGGCACCGCGGGTCAGGGGGGGACACTGGGACCAGGAAACTGAGCTGAATTGGGGAGAGCTCTCTCGGGATCACTTGTACATCACGATATAAGTCTTCCATTATAACATGTCGATGTGAATCAGTGCCCAGTCTGGCGACACGCAGAGCCTGGGACTGATGGACAACGCGTGTGTAGCTGCCAGAGGGTCCTTAAAAACAACCCCTCTCAAGTAGCCACGAGGTTGAGATGATTGGAAAAGTACCGGACTGTGAGCCGATCGGATCGATATTTCCATCGGTTTTGTTAAAAGAGACGCATTTCATCTTCAACCGTAATCCTACGCTTTTCTAACGCTGTGCGCACTGAGAGGAGGAACAGCAAAAAAAAACAACCGAGAGGTACAAGTAATGGAGATGGAAATCAGTTGCCCATTGGCGATCGATAATCTGTTGTGAGCAGATCAAACCTCCTTCCAGAGGGGATAAATATGGGGAGGGAGCACACAAGAATTTGCCATTGAGTTTTCCTTCCACCATCCTGACAGCCGCTCGACATGTTGTGTCCCAGACTATTATACTGTGTAGTTCCAAAGGTTCACCCGACTATCAATCGATTACTATCAATATTCCTCTCGGGAGAATGTTAATCAGTTAATCAAACGCCTGACATTCCCAAAGCGCTGATGGTTTCCTGCCTCCACCCACCCACCCACCAGCCAACAACCGAGCACAACTGTTTTTCTGGAAGATTTTTGCTCGGAAAAGAGGGAGAAATGGTTCATTTTATACTGTGTTTCAGCACAAATGGGTTTGCACCGTCAGAGTGGGTGGGGGGGGAGAAGCCAATTCACTCGCTGATGTGGTTAAAAAATGTTTCTTTGGTCGTGTACTTTACAATGTAGGTTTAACTACACGATAGATAAAGCCCCAGATCAAAGCAGATGACGATAAGGGCGATATTTTGGCTGCTATATATAAACCGACTGGAATTTAACCAGATTTTATGTCTGTTTTCCTGGCTGCGAGATTGCCACTGAAAGTAAAATAACCACGAAATAAATCCCACCCCCCTCCAAAAAAAAAAATTTGTGTAGGTGAATGAAAATTGAAACTAAACCAGGTGTATAAACTCCCTAAAATTTAGACTATGGGCCAAACTTAAATTGGGATTTTTTGTTAACATACTGTTCCACGCTGCAGGTTGTGCTTTGCGTCTTGGGGGTTGTCGGAAAAAAACAACCCCCAACTCAAAACAAAGCCATCAATTTCCCTACAATACACGGGCGAAATATCCCTAGTTCCACTACTTCCATTATTCAACCTTGTAGGAATATTTTTGCTTGAAAAAAAACGCCCACAAAATGTTCAGTCAATTCACTTTACGGTGTATTCCGTGAAGCGCTTCGAGGCGTCTCGAAGACGCGATAAGGCGCTGTGTCAAATGCAAGGATTGTTATTGTTACATTAGAGTAAATTCGGTATCAAACAATCCTACACCACCAGAAACTCTCATCCAGATGGAAATTCGGAGCCATCCTTGCTTCCCCCCCCCCCCCCCCCAACACGAAAGCATTTATTATTTTACAGCTCTATCCAATAACCCTTAAACTCTTTGATGTCTCCTTTGAGCTGATCAGTTTTATTGGCCCTTTGGGAGTAATCTGGCTCTCGTTTCGTGTGATTTTTAGTTGGCTTATTTATTTTTGTGTTGTTTTTTTGTTCTTATTAAAGTGAAATAGAGCTGCAGTTCGCTCAGGGGGGAGTTTTAGCGTTTTTTTAAAAATTTCCGACGCTGCTTATTTCTGGTTTATTTCATTGCCAAAAAAAAAGGCAAAAAGGGAGAGTTGTTATGATTAGTTAATACTGTATTTTAAAATAACACCCGATTGTGAAAAGGCCATCGACCTTTTTCGACGAGACACACAAACCAATTCGAGTTTAAGCAATAACCCATTTATTCTTTTTTTCAATATAAAAAAATACTTTTTTTCAATATTGAAAGATTTTTTTTATGCAAAAAAAGAGAAAATAATTGTTTCTTCTGCTCGGCGAATACCTGTTCTGTTGTTTGTAAAGAGATCCCGATTTGCATTGAGTACAGTTTAAATCATCTTCACGTTGTTGTTCAGAGTTGTGTCCCCCCCTTCCCACAACGTTTTTTTGGAAAACTTGTTGGATGTGACAGTTTCCTTCCCACCCCCACACCCCAAATAAAAGTCTGGTGTATTGCACAGTGTCACAGAGAGAGGGATTAAACGAAGGGGCAGTCAAGCAAGGGAATTAACAAAACGATGCAGGAAAGAGGGAAAGAAACAGAGACTAAGGCTGATATAAAGAGTGAGCAAAGGAAGCACATACAGTATGTGTTGTTGAGTTTGCAGTGTACCCAGTGCTAGTGCTGCAGTGGCCAGACTTGTGATTGTGGAGTCCTGTAGTTAGAGCACTCGCTTTGCAAGTGAGAGACCTGAGTTCAATTCCAGGCAGAGGGCGAAACCTTGGGCAAGTTTCCTTACTCCACACAGAGCCTAATAATAATCCCTCCCAAACCAAAAACAATAATAAAAAAAATCGGTCATTTTCAATCTATGACTGTTGTGGGACATTGCTGTGCGCAATTGGCTGCCGCGTTCACCCACGAATATACAGTCAATTCACTTTACAGTGTATTCTGTGAAGCGCTTTGGGACGTCCTCCTGACGTGAAAAGCGCTATATCAAATGCAAGGATTATTATTATTATTAGCTGTGGAAACCCAGTCAGCCAGTCCCTAATACCGTAGTAAAACATGTTCTGTGCATCCTCACCAGTGCAAAGCAGTCCTGCCATTTTCTTACAGAAAGCACACGCCAGGAGACTAAGCCTTTGGCTTTTATTTCACCAGTGGCGTCGTAGCCCTTTTTTTGCAAAGTTTTCTCCTTTTAATTTTTTTTTTGGAGTGGGGGGCATCGCCTTTTGAAGCCACTTTTGAAACTTTCTCATGAGAAAAGCGCCTTTTGCCTTCACCGGCTGGTACTTCACTCTGATGCTGAAAAAAAAGAGCCTGAAGGCAGCAATCAGCCTGCAAACAAATCAAACACAACACCCACACACCCACTATTAGAGGATCAGTTGGCTTCAACACTGCTTGACTTTCCTTTAACTTCACCTTCTCTCAAACATCTACACAGAGCAGCAAAATAACACAAAACATGTCACAAAACTGAAGCAATTCGCGAAGCTACAATATGTGCAACAACAACAACAACAACAACTTGCATTTACAACAACAACAATTTGCATGTGCATTGGGACGCTGCTGGGCGCAATGGGCTGCTGAGTTTCGCCCACAAGTGTACAGTCAATTCACTTTACAGTGCATTCTGTGAAGTGCTTTGAGACGTCGAGAAGACGTGAAAAGCGCTGTAACAAACGCAAGGATTATTACGGGATAATAATAATCCGTGCATTTTGATATAGGACCTTATCACGTTTTCGAGACGTCTTAAAGCGCTTCACAGAATTTTCTGTAAAGTGAATTCTGTGCTTTTCCCGAGTAGGGCATTTTCGCACAGCCTGGGAATCGAACCCAGGTCCTCTCGCTTGCGAGGCGAGTGCTCTAACCACTGAGTTACAGAACTCCACAATATATACTTATACAGCGCCCCTCACACAATGTAGCGTCCCAGACCGCTTTACAGCGCCCTTCATGTGGGCAATATCTCGGAGCTCTTAACTGTGGTGGAGACCATGTGTAATAAGATGCCAATCAATCTGCACCGTTTGCATCTGTTTGTGAGGTTACCAGTCATCACCCCTTTTTTTAATTTTTATCTGTTCTGAGTTTGACAGAGCTTGAAAAATGTTAACCCTTTACTTACCGCGACGTAGGTTGTTTTATTTATTTGTATGAAAATCTCTTTGCTTAACCGTGGTGAAGAGATGTTAACATGCGGTAAGTGGCGTTAACATGAGATGCAAACCAGAACTACTTCCGGGGACACATATTCACCGAGACTCACCACTTCCCACTTTGTAAAGTTTGGGGCTGAAATTGTTTTTTTGACTGGTTGAATATTCTCGC